GTCTATATAAGGCCGAGCGTCCAACAGATAATGACACTCACCTCTGTACCGCATCATCGCATCGTTTGATGGCGATTGTCTCGCCATCTACTGATTGTCTAGCACTCCTCACCTTTCTCATCTGCCTCCTCCGTTGTTGCGAGGCGGGATATGATGTCGGGGTCTACAACCCAATAATCTTGATCCCAGGTATCAGTTGCCCCAACCTGGAGGCGCGGCTGACTGATGCCTACGTGCCGTCACTGCCCCACTGCGGTGCGCTCAAGGGGAAAGGGTGGTTCTCATTGTGGAACAACACATCTGACCTGGTCCGCCACAACTATGTGTCGTGCTTCGAGGAGCAGATGTGCCTCGTCTATGACTCTGCCCTCAAAGACTACCGGAACCTACCCGGTGTCGAGACGCATGTGCCAGACTTCGGCTCCGCCCATGGATTCACCTCAAAGAACCTCGATTCGTAAGTACACTCTGTAACAAGTAATCCATCTGTTGGCTTCCTACTACCTGCTGACGTGTCTACTGATCTACATTGGACATTTGCACAGTGTATATATTATGACCTTTTGGAAAAATCTCTAGTATGTCGAATGCTTTTGTCCCCAACGTATGGAGTTTGATTTGGGAACTGATCTTTACATTGCATATGTGGTGTTCAGGAGCCGTAAGGGATTTTGCATGACAAGGGTCCTCGAAGAGCTTCAGTTGCTTGGGTATCGTGACGGAGATACCCTTTTCGGAGCTCCCTATGACCCACGGCATGCTCCGCCACTGCCAGGCCAGCCATCTCAAGTGTTCTCGGACTACTTTGCCCGTTTCAAGGTTCTGGTGGAGCATGCAAGCAAGAAGAACCAGGACAAACTGGTCATCCTCGTCGCACACAGCTTTGGTGGCATGGCCACCCTCAAGTTCATTAATTGGACTCCCATAACATGGAGGAAGAAATTCATCAAGCACCTGGTCCTCATATCGCCTACACTTCCGGGAGGCTTTATGGAGGCGCTCACGAACCTCGCCTCAGGACCGAAACCGCTCGTTGTCCCGACAATTCCGCGCTTGAGTTTGCGGCCAATGTGGAGAACCTTTGCGAGTGCCCTTTTATTCCTCCCGTCTTCCCCGGTTTTTGGTCACATGCCGCTTGTGATTACCAAAAACAAGAACTACTCGGCGTATGACTACAAGGACTTACTTCCGGCAATCGGTTTGAAAACCGAGGTGGTGGAACGGGTGCTTTCGATGAAGCTGAGAGTTGATGCACCGATGGTGCCAACAACATACCTCAACGGTGTCGGCGTGCAGACGCCGGAGCAAGCAGTATACTGGGATGGTAACTTCAATGTAGCTCCCAAGAACGTATATGGCGATGGAGACGGGGTTATGAATTTGGTTAGCGTTCTTGCTCTCGTGAATGATTTGCATAGACAACAACAGGCTAACATACACTTTAAGTTCGTCAAGATTGTTAATACTACACACTCTAACATTGTTGTTCAGGAGCACTCGCTCAAGAAGATCATGTATGAAATTCTAGAAGCAAATCGCTGAGGAGTCATCATATGTTATTTCTGTTTTCCTTCATATTAATAAAGACTTCCAATTTTAGCAATTTCAACAATATTCAGGAATCTTAGCTGGACTCACGTCGTTGTATCAATGGATTGAAGTAGCTGTTCATAGCCGTGCACATGCACATCGGCTACATGCCTTCTTTTTTCCCGGTAATATTCAGCGAAAGTTCTCTGGGGTGCAAGGAATGTTTTTGGCGGCAATTTATGCGCTGGGAGAATGGCAATTCTTTCCTGCCAACACGGCAAATTTCACGAAAAAATCCTCTGGTCAAAAGTTTCCATGTGTATGCGAAGAATTTGTCATAGAAAACGTTCACAATTGTCATGCTCCACCTCGAACGTTCGGTGGCTATTGACATCCTTTTTATTGGCAGAAACCCAGCCAGAATCGGTGTCACCAAGCGTCTGTTCCGTGGCAAATGTCTTTGTCAGAAAATAACATTCACACGCTCCTCCACGTGCCCATGCATGCTACTTGCAGTTAGCGTGGTATTTAAAAAAATATGCTCAAATATATACGCATGCACACTTACCTCATATGAGCATATGCGTATATTACTCCCTCCATTCCTAAGTATAAGTCTTTGTAAAATTCCATTATGCTAGACTCTAAAATGCATCTATATATATCTGTATGTGGTCTATAATGAATCTCTACAAAGACTTATATTTAGGAGCGAAGAGACTATATTCCTATAAGCACTACTCATAGATTGTTGTTCTGCGTGTACTTTGTGTATCGTTGAATGAATAATCAGGCATGAAGTAGGAG